GATATAATATCTCTGCCTCGGGGTTTCAGATGGATCCTAAAAAGCTGGAATCAGTTCTAAAATGGCCTTTACCCACTGGGTTGAAAGCCATTCAAATGTTCATTTGTTACACCTATTATTACAGAAGATTTATAAAGGGATTTTCTTCAGTAATAGCCTCCATCACCAATATGACACGCAAGGGGGCTAGTAGTATGATATGGTCTAAGGAGGCAATTGAAGCCTTTGAAACTCTGAAACAGCGGTTTGCCTCCGCCGACATATTGATACATCCTGACACCAGTAAGCCTTTCATACTGGAGGCTGATGCTTCAGAGACAGGGGTAGGGGCAGTTCTCTCCCAGAGGGAGAGCCAGGAAACTCCGTTACATCCTTGTGGTTACTTTTCTAGAAAGTTGTCTCCTTCTGAGCTCAATTACGATATTGGCAATAGAGAATTGTTGGCCATTATTCTAGCTCTCATTGAGTGGCGACATCTTTTAGAGGGTTCCAAGGACCCCCTTTTGATCATTACTGATCACAAAAACCTGGCTTACATAGGAGATGCTAAACGATTGTCTTCTAGACAAGCCAGGTGGTCTCTATTTCTTTCTCGCTTTAATTTTCTTATCACCTACAGACCTGGTTCTAAAAATGTCAAGGCCGACGCCTTGTCCAGGCAGTTTGATACTGAGGCTATACTAGAGCAAGAAACATCCCATATCATTCCCCCGGAATGTATAATTGCGTCCACTGTCCTTTCATTGTCCTCTCCACTGCTTGGCTCCATCATGGAGGCTCAGTCTCAGGCACCCTGCGGTAAACCTCAGGACAAACTGTTCATTCCATTGGGTGAAAGGGTTAATATCATGAAGGTGTTTCACGACAATGTGTCTGCTGGTCACCCAGGTATTAATAAATCCACTTCTGCTATCATGAGGTCATTCTGGTGGGATTCCCTCAGGAAGGATGTTAAGGAATATGTGCAGGCTTGTCTGTTTGTGCGGTTTCCAAAGTGCCTCATAAACTCCCTTGTGGCTTGTTATAACCTCTTCCTATTCCTGAGGTCCCATGGACCCACTTGTCCATGGACTTCATTGTTGAACTTCCTAGTTCTAACGGTTATACCACCATTCTCATGGTTGTGGACCGTTTTCTAAAATGGCTAATTTTATTCCTCTCAAGAAATTACCGTCATCTCAAGACCTGGTACTGATCTTTATACGTGAGATTGTCCGTCTGCATGGCATTCCTCACAATATTGTATCTGATAGAGGTTCTCAGTATGTATTCCGGTTTTGGAGGGCTTTTAATAAGCAATTGAGGATTGAATTGTCTTTTTCATCCTCTTACCACCCCCAGACTAAAGGTACAGCTGAGAGGGCCTACCAGTCTTTGGAGTTATACTTGCTTTGTTTTGTTAATAGCACTCAAGACAATTGGTCCGAATTATTACCATAGGCCGAGTTTGCTAGGAACAATGCTGACCATGATTCCTCTGGGCATAGTCCATTTTTTGTTAATAATGGCCGGCATCCTACTGTCCTACCGGCTGTTTTTTCTGATACGGCTATTCCTGTTTTGGATGACCGTCTGACTTCCATCCATGATACCTGGGTTAAAGTTAAATCTGCTCTGGGTACTGCTGCTGACCGTTTCAAGCATTATGCTGATACACGTCGAGGTGCTAACCCTGTTTACCAAGTGGGTGAGAGGGTTTGGTTATCTTCTCGTAACATCAGGCTCAAAGTCCCTAGCATGAAATTTGCTCCTAGGTTCCTTGGACCTTTTCGTGTCCTTCGTAGGATCAATCCTGTTGCGTACTCTCTGGCCCTTCCGGCCTCCTTGAAAATTCCTAATACCTTTCATGTGTCCTTGCTCAAACCTCTTGTTTGCAATAAATATACTGTCTCAAGTGTGCCTCCTCCTCCCTTAGTTGTTTCTGGACAGGAAGAGTATGAGGTCTCCTCCATAATTGATTGAAGGTTTTCTCTGGTCACTTTACAGTACTTGGTGGATTGGAAAGGTTATGGACCAGCCGATTGTTCTTGGGTTCCGGCATCTGATATACATGCTGGCCGCAAGATTCGCTATTTTCATGCCAAATTTCCTCTCAAGCCTGGTCCTGCCCTCCCAGTGGGCGTTCTTCAGGTGGAGGGTAATGTCATGTATTCATCCGCTTATAAAAATGTGGTTAATGGCAATTACTGTCCACACATGAAAAGTTGTGCCGAGCAGCAACCAAATCCACAGAAGGGTTAATGCCCAGTTCTCATCCTGCTCAGTGCCCTGTCATGGTTTCCCTTGTGGTTGTCTGAGAGCGCGTTATTGATTCTGGTTATTCTGGTTATTTGACTTTGGCATTGTATTTGACTTCCCTGTTTTCTGGCATGCCTGACTCCTGGTTTTTCCTTATCGTTGTCTCTTTCTGTTTCCCTTGACCTTGGCTATTCCTGACTATTCTTTGGTACATTAGTCCGGCCATTCTAAGGTCCAGTATACGTTACCTATCAGTCCTCTGTGTTACACAATTCTACGTGCTGGATCATTCTGTAATCCTGACATATAGGGATTATAGCAATCTCCAGAGTGTAGGTAGTTCTCCAATCCCCCAAACATGAGCTGAAACTTCATGAATGGTAGGACAAGTCTCATTTATTAAGTGCAAGGGCATTTCTTTTATGCATATTTTCAGGCCATAAGCACACCCCCTGAACCTGATGGTAAACTGGGACAAAAAGGAACACAAACCAATGGGAACAATAATTAGTACAACAACACTCCCACATACAGTCAGCAAGCCCTCCCCTCTGACTGTGATATAATTAACAGACACAATGGAAAAACCTAATTATCCACAGGCAGAAAATATTCATTTTTACACAAAGTCTAGAAACACCCCAAAATACCAACAAATCCCCATAAATCCTACATCCCTGGATAACCCTGATCTGGGTGAACAACATATCCAAAAATCACCCAGATCAGAGCAGGGGTAAAAAAGTGATATGGAAATCACATTTGACTGACCGCAAGCATGGCTTTCATGCCCAAAACAGTTCCACAGATTTAGGCTGTGCGGCCAGTCTATCTTCTCCTCTATCCTGGAGATAATTGGCTTAAGTGGCTGTGGTAACTTAATTATCTCCAGGTACAGGAAATATCTCAAAAACTGTTACAAAAACCACATAAAAAGACATAACTCTTATAATACAATATGTCCAACATATCCCCAGATAGCTTGGCTCTGAGCGCTCAATATGTCCAATGTTAAAAGTGCACTATAGTACAAATAAGGGTGGGGTGAGAAAATAGCAAGGGCTGATGGGAGATTGAGGAGGGACAAAGCAGTTAGTTTAAACTGGTCTGGCAGTGTCCCTGGGACAACGCCCTGCTGGAGAACAATAGGACAGGAAAAAGGGGGAGGGGAAGAGGCACATTTTCCCATGGAAGTCACTTGTTGCAGGGCCCATAGTCTTGGGGCAGAAATAGTGTATTAAAACCCCATAAGCCCAAATAGGGTTTTTAAATGGCAATACCCCAAGGGGTCCATAGTCACAGGGCAAGAGGCTGGCAAGCAGGCCTCTCCAAACCCCAGTGATGAAGGTGCTTTCGTCACACCATCTATACATCATGCTACCAGATGCTATAGCAATTAAATAGATTCAGTGAGGAGAAAACTATTTTTACAATCACAATGAACCCGGATGTGACGATCTTAACTGGCAGTGACAAACTGTTGCATCAAAACCGATCTTCGGCTTCACTTATCTCTTTATGCTTGGAGTCCTTGTTGTCATAGCCATACTTGCTTTTGTATGTACACAAAGGAAAATAGAAACACAAGTTATTGAAACAAGTAATCAGTATTACTACTTCTTAAAACCGACTTCAATTATTCATCCTAATGTAACCCTTTTCTTTAAAGCCTACAAAAACATGGACTCAAAATTGTAAATATCTTATAAAAAATGTTAATCCAAATATATATAATAAACAGCAGTTTTAAAAAAATTTTTATTTATGAAGACAATTATTAAATAATACACAAGTTATTTATTTATTTATTTTTATTTTTGTTGTGTAAATCAAATTAACAGGCATGCTGACTATGCCACGATAGCAGAGTATAGCACATTACTGGTTACATATCTTAACATTGTCGTGGCATGCATATCAACTACCCATTTTTTGTGAGGTAGAGAGCAGAACATATTGGTAAATATAATGAAAAACTGAAAAACTGTGGGATTGCAATGCTAAATAGCCGTTTAGTGATATTGTGTGCATGTGACCATTAATTAAAAAGAGGGAACAGAAAAATAATAGTAAAAATGGCAATTGAGGATACGGGAGAACAGAGCAAATTAGCATACATAGTGAATTATTGCAGGGTCTCCATTTGTAATAATAAAGACGTTGAGTTTTATTGAGTGCACATGACCTTTTATTAAAAAAGGGTAAGAAAAATAGAAATAAAAATAATAATGTGGAAAGTCTCGTAATTGTGTCTCTAATTCGCCTTTGGGTAAGGGGCTATATGCCTGGGTCAGATAAATTATAAGGCAAACATATTTATGGGGTAAACCACGGGAATACCACGGCAGGTTTAACCTATTAAGAGAGAGTAATGTGTGGGGAGGTGATTAATAGAGCTAAGCTTATCGGTAATCTTATCGGCTGTGAGTCAGTAGGAAAATGTAGCCGCACAAAAAATAAGAAGTGGGTACTTTCAAGGTCTGGAACAGCAATGTCCTCCTGGAATGCCAAGCCTCCAGGCTACTTCTTGCGTGCTGGTTTCAGGTCATTGAGGCGTCATATGGATCAGCGGTGGTTCATCTTGGGATTAACAGGTTGATCCTAGATGGATCCCAATTATGACAGGGAGCTGCAGGTAGGGCCCTGGGAAGCGAATCCTGTCGCAGGCCCAGAGTTCTCAGCGTGGCTTCCGCTGCCGTGATATCTCAGATGGGGAGCTAGGTATCCCTGTGGGACACATATATTGTGCAAGACGGAGTCCATCAGTAGCGGATCTTATGTGTCCGCAGGATCGTGGTGAGAGGGCAAAGGAATTGTTTCCAAGCCAATGTGCCTGAGGACAGGTCGTTGCAGAAGGTGAGTTGCATGGATTCAAAGTTGAGAGGCGATCTCTCCCTGGCAGCTGTGATGACTGCAGCCTTATCACGGCCGGATTCAAACTGGACCACCGTGTTGCGTGTTGCGTGTTGCTGTTGCGGGTGCTCTAGCTGGTTTTGGGAGCCTGAAGAAGCCTTCCACCTGTATCTTCTTGGCTTGCATAAGCGTGAGTAATTCTGTGAAGAGTCTTCATAGGAGGTGAGGCAACTCAGCTGCTTCGATTTCATCTTGAGGTTCTTTTTGCGGCATGCATTTTTGAGAGCTGCTATTCGCCTTTCTTGGGTCTCCTGGGTGTGCTCTACCTCCTGGGCTGATTTCTCCAGGGTCGTGAGGCGTGGTGTGTGGCTGCTCGTGATTTGTTCCACAGCTTGAAGTCGAACCGTGAGGCCGCAGAGGTCTGATCTTATTGCAGCCACGTCCATTTGCAGTGTGGCCTGCCGGTCAGCTAGCAAAGCCTTCAGCACCGCTATTGTGACCGGCGAGGAAAATATACAACAATTTATTGAACACCATTTAAATTTATTTTTTTACATAACACCAAATATCTGATAATTTAAAAATGCTGCATGATTCCTAAATTTTAAGAACTAAGAGACAAATATAAAAAGGAAACCACCCTAAAAAAAATAAATTTATTGGAAGAACTTTTTACAAAAAATGGTGTAGTTCAACATCCATATTTAGATGAGTGGGGACTAACGTGTTAAGCTTGAATATCCACTTTAATTTCCATCCATCCATCCTTAATTTCAGCCTATGGTAACCTTCTTATTACGTCTTCGCCTCTCCTATTGCCATTAACTTTTTGAATGCTCATAAATTTAATTCCCAGGGAATTACTGTAACATGTTTTAATAAAGTGGGCTGGCACGCTATGCTTTTCAATATTTTTTTTATATTCCTTATATGTTCTCTAACTCTATGTTGGAGACACTTGGTTCTCCCTACAAAATGTAATCCACGAGGGAGCTTTAATAAGAAAATGTTGTTCTTGGACTAGCAGGTGATTAATTGTTTGATATTTCTTATTTTGACCATCTATAAAATTATGAAAACATGTTTATACCTTTTTCTTGAGTAAGTGCATGCATAGCATGTACCACAACCAAAAAGATCCCATAAGAAGGTCTTTTTGTGGCTTTTCCCAATATGTTTTTAAACCAATTTGTCTTTATATTGGGGTCACCCTAAACACTATCACAGGTTTCTCTGGATGTACACTCCCCACAACTTTTTTTCAAAACAAGCCAATGTCTTTTTATAATTTTTCTTTTTGTGTTACTGTTTTGGTTATAATCACAAATGAAAGACATCATGTTGGAATTGCCACTATAATTCTTTTTTATTTCAACAATTCTTCTCTATTAATAGATTTTACATCATTACATAGTTATGTTAATCTGTTTTTATTATAGCCATTTTCTTCAAATTCTTGCTTTACCTTCTCCATCTGCAGCTCAAATCTGTACAGTTTCTTCAAATACGAAGAAAATGGGACCTGCGGACACTACCAAGTCAAGGGGAGAAGTGACAACTATCCTGTTGTATATAATTGTCAACATCTACAACTTTGAAATGTGTGTTAGTTTTAAGTATTGAATTTTCAACATAGATGTTTAAATCCAAAAATAATGACCCTATTTCTATTACAATTCACAGTGAGACTAATATCCCAATTGTTTCAATTAGGATGGCTGATAAACTTAATATTAGAGGGACAAAGGTTTAAAAATAAAAATAATATCAGGAAGTATTACTTTACTGAGAGGGTAGTGGATGCATGGAATAGCCTTATAGCTGAAGTGGTAGAGGTTAACACAGTAAAGGAGTTTAAGCATGCGTGGGATAGGCATAAGGCTATCCTAACTATAAGATAAGACTAGGGACTAATGAAAGTATTTAGAAAATTGGGCAGACTAGATGGGCCGAATGATTCTTATCTGCCGTCACATTCTATGTTTCTATGTTTCTATGTTTAATTAGACATGCCTCTGTACCCTTCCAAATAAAAATAAATTGTCTATGTAATGGTGATAGGAATCCATGTTTTCCACCCAGTCATTGCCTCGATATACAAATTATTTCTTCCAATAGAAAATAAATACAGTTTCTTAACCGGGTGAAAACTTGGTCTCCATTGCTGTTCCCCAAAAATCACCTTTAAACCAAAAATTATAATTTGAAATTAATTGGATGGATTCTAGTATTAAATTAATGTGTATGTCTTTAAAATATTTAGATTGGGTAAAAAGATATTCTTTTGCTTGACTGCCCCATTGATGGGAGATTATGGAATACAAAAAGCTAACATCTGTAGTCCCCAGGAAAAAAAAAACTTCCTTCAATATAACATCCTTTTTAATCTACAGGATGTGGATACTGTCTTTGAAGGTATTAGAAAGATTTGATTCTTGGATATTTTACACTTAAATAGTTATATTCTCCTTTATTAAGAATTACACTTTATCAGGTGGGTAACCTTCATTTTTCATTAATTTGATCTTTATTCAACTTTTTTTGTACATGGTTGTGAATACAAACAAATTGTAATGCCACAACAAACTAAACAAGTATGACAATACAAATATTAAATTGGTACATGGCTTTGAATATTCTGCACATTTTATATTATGTTATAATCCAGCTAATGTCTAGATTCGATTGCTAACTGTAGAGATGTTTTTATTCAGCTTTTTATATGTAATTGTATCATTCAATAAAATTAAGTGCCTCATAAATGTAATCTTTGGGTTTTTTTTTAAATAACCAGTTTCACCCTGTAGACTGTAAGCTAGTTTGATCAGGGTCCTCTTCAACATATCGTTCCTGTAAGTTTTCTTGTAATTGTCCTATTTATAGTTAAATCCCCCCTCTCATAATATTTTTTTTTTTTTTTTTTCAATATATAGTGTTTATTGAATTTTCACAGATAACAACAAAACACAAAGTGCCGGTTTGATATACAGATGGCACATTATGATACACCATGATACATCAGACATTTCCTTGCAAGACATAACTCTATGTGTGGAATATAATAATGTAGACACCAATAGCATAAAAGGAGGAGTGTTGCATTTACATCATACCATAAAACGGCTGTTGAACATATGAACACATCTTTCCAAAAGACCATTGAAAGGGAAATATATACATTGCAAGAGAAGTAGACATTGTAGGAATAACGCTAACTTACTAGTATAATATACTAAGTTTAGGGCTGTAGATATGTTACAAGATGTATGCAAGTCTGTGGCCCTGGCCCATAGCGGCCTGAAGCAGGTCGGACGACTGTTAAAGTCATTGAAACGTATTGTTCTAATGATAAACATTTCCCAATGGTATATAATTTCGACTTTCGTGACTATCGGCAGTGTGAGCAGTACTATATGACTTGCGTTATATTAACGAGTTGGTTTGGATTAAATATCAATAATGTATCATATAAACAAAAAAACAAAAAAAAAAAATAATGTCATACAATAAAAAAAAAAATGTCATACAATAAAACATACAGGAAAATGGGGTAACGGGAAGGCGGGGGGGTGGGACAGGGGGCAATTGACGCCTATGATGCAAGAATTTTGTGTGTTTGTGCTGGATGACGTATAATATGCTACGATATGACACAAAATGGTACAGTGTGATTTGAGGTGATGAAAATCAAAGCGTGCTCAGAGATGGGCTGACCCTAGCATGTCGTGATAGTCTCATCCATAAAAGATTCCCAGTTTTGCCATCTATCCAGAAATACACTCATATTACCCTTTTTTGCCCACTCCTTTTCATGTTGGTATGTAGAGTTTGTTCTACGGAGGACTTCCATTTTTGTAGGGCAGGCGGTGGATTTCCAGTGTGCTGCTATGCTAATTTTAGCAGCTAGGAGCATATTAAGCACCGCATCCTTAGCTGGCAAATCGCTCAAATTTGGAATGAGGTGAAGTAAATAATTTTCGGGAGTCAATGGGATATTAAAATCACATAATGTGTGAATTGCATTTTTGATTTCTTGCCAGAATACTTGTAGCTTGTGACAATACCAAAATATATGTTCTATAGATCCTTTGTCAGCACGACATCTCCAACATAATGAAGAGGATTCCGGATAAATTTTGTGAATCCTGCTTGGGACCAAGTACCACCTCATCAACATTTTAAAATACGCTTCCCAGTGTGTAATACATTTTGATGACTTTTTTGTGTAGGTAATGGCTTGTTCCCATTCGGGAAAAGTAGGAGCTATACTCAATGTTGCCTCCCATTTGAGCATATAGGGCAGTTTAGTGGATGCATTCAAATCAACCTGCGCGGAGTAACACAATGAAAGAGATTTGCAAGATGATTGGGATAGTTTTGCATTGTACCATTTAAATCCCAGTCTACTGAGTGAAAGCGGATGAATAAATTTGATTGATTCCTTAATTAGGATATGTTTGAACCGTAGGTATAGGAAAATATCTTTGGGCGGTAAGTTATAATCTTTCTGTAGATCAGGGAATGAGCGAATGCCTTCTTCATTAAGTAGTTTATGAACATGCGTTATACCTAAATTGGACCAGTGTCGCGTTTGAAGGTTGGGGGATATGTTAGATAAGGCCGATATAGGTGCTAGATAAAGTGCCTCTGCTTTGGACCACAATATGGTACTCCATGAGGTCCATGATTTGATAAAAAAGTGTGAAGCTGGGAGTGTAGAGGGGCTATAAATTGAGGGTTGTTTCCACAGGGAGTCAGAGATAGAGTGCATGCCTCCGCAGGAGGTTTCCAGTTTGACCCAAACGGGATTTGATTTGCCTGTTAGAATATCAAGGCCTTGCGCCAGCAATGTTGCCCTGTAGTAATACAAAATGTTCGGGACACAAAGTCCGCCTCTTTTGAATGGTCGCCAGAGAGACCGAAAGGCGACTCTTGGAGGTTTTTTCCTCCAAATATGGGCATTGATAGCCATTTGAAATCTCTTGAGAAGGGAGTTCGGTAAAGCTATAGGTATAGTTCTAAACAGATAGAGTATGTGGGGTAAGATCATCATTTTGATAGAGTTTATCCTGCCAAACCAGGACGTGTGTAAATTGCTCCAAGAGTCCATTTGTTTGGAGATCTTGGCTAAGACTGCGATGTGATTCTCTTTTATAACTAGTGATTTGGATTTAGTTAATTTGATTCCTAAATATGAAATAGCTGTATGTTTCCATTCAAAGGAATAAGTGCTCTTTAGATCTGACACTACCTTTTCATCAAGTCGTATGGGAAGGATCTGAGTTTTACTAATATTATTTTTATAATAGGAGACAGTACCATAAGTAGTTAGAGTGTGTAGGAGATGTGGGATAGATTCTGTTGGGTTAGCGAGAACTAGGACTACATCATCAGCATAAAGGGCTAGCTTCTTCTCGCCAGCTGGAGTTGAAAGACCGGGCAGTTT